TCTAGGACTACTTTTAGCCTTCCTTTTGTCTTGTTGTCCCTTGCATAGAAGACTTGCATAACATCTCTTATAAGGACGAAGGGGTCGTCTCTGTATGCGGTCTTAGTGAGATCAACGGTAGTGAACCCTTAGCTGTCAGTGTTGATTTCATCGAGCCGGACCCACTGGAAGCGAAAAAGAGCTACCTTCAATGGACCGTAGTCTAGCACCCATATCTCCTCTATGAAACCATAGTATGTCGCCTACACGTTGCTGTTTTCTTCGTGAGCATCAAAACGAACTCCACAATTTTGGTATGTGCTCTTTCTATCTTGCTTTTTTGTGTAAAATGTGAATCCACAGATCTCATACCCTTGGTACTTCAGATATGTACTCGAATGTTCCCTGGCTAAGGCATCCAGTTGATTACCCAACTTTATTCTAAGCAAGCGATGTCGCAACCAGTTGACAAATTCCTCCTTATGTTTTTTATCCAGCCAAGCCTGTGACCTACTCGAATATAGAGTTTGCTGCGATTACCTGTGCTCATCAATGTATGGCATCACACCCTCAGCTTGCTAGAGAACAGCGAACTATGTCTATCTGAAAGAAACAGGGTCGTCTACTGTAACATATTTCTCCCCGATAGTTCCTTTGCCACGTAGTCTTATCTCATGACAAGATTCTAGAACTCCGACCCTTTTGATGTCCAGATAATATGTGCAAAACTCAATGACCTCCTCCGTTGACCATCCTTCAACCATGCCCCCTTCTGGCCTGAATTTGTTACTAACATACCTCCTGAAAATTTTCATCAATCTTTTGAAAGGAAACATCTGATGCAGGTACATTGGGCCAAGGGCTCTAATTTGGTCAACAAGATGAATGAGCAGATGCAATGAGATATCAAAGTAAGTCGGCGGGAAATGCATCTCAAGCCTAATGAGAGTTTCGACTATGTCTCACTGCAGCTACTCTAGCGTGGACACATCAATGACCTTTTTTGAGATCGCATTGAAGAACGAGCATAGCTTTATGATTGGGGTGCGGACCTTTGGGGGGAGGATACCACGCAGGGCAACAAGGAGCAGCTGAGTCATAATGACATGACAGTCATGGGCCTTCATAGGGCCATAGTTGAACTTGAGTTCACTCATGTTCACTAGCCTCTTCGGGTTCACACAGTAGCCCGACGGGACTTTGAGTTCATTGAAAAAAGAAATAAGCGCAAGCTTTTCTTCCTTCTTCAATGTCCATGATGCAACCGGAAGTTCAAACTGGCCATTCTCTAGCTCCACGGGATGCAGCTCCTTCCTGATTCCCAAGTGTTGCATGTCTAGGCATGTGGCAAGTGAATCCTTCGATGTCCCCCCAGTGTCCATCAAGGTGTTAAGTGTGTTAGCGCACACATTTTAAGTGATGTGCATGGGATCAATATAATGGCGTACACTTAGAAATGCCCAGTAAGGTAGTTTCTAGAAAATTGATTTTTTTCTTCCAAACGCTCCCATCAGGCGTTGCTACTGCATTGTCCCCCTTCCTAAGGACAACCTCCAGTTTGTTGAGTTCTCGAAGTATCATAAGCCCGTCTCGATATTTTGGAGCTAAGCATTTCTCAATAGTACCATTGAAATCTTTTTTGTTCCTGCGGTAAGAGTGATCCTTAGGTAGGAACCTATGGTGTCCCATATAAACTATCTTTGACTTATTTGGCAGATTTACCGCATCGGTGTCGTCCAAGCACTCGACATATCCAGTATAGCCTTTTGTCTTCTCTCCGGACAACGAACCTCGACCTGGTAGGTCGGTGATTGTAGCGATAAGTACTCCTTAATCATGACATGTTCCTTTTTGTACTCGTTTCAAACATCCGACACACCCTTTTCAAACATCTCCACTAGTTCATCGATCACTGGTACTAGACACACATCGATGTCATTCCTTGGTTGTCTTGGCTCTTGGATCAGTGGTGGCATCTAGATGTACGACCGCTTCATACAGACCCAAGGTGGAAGGTTGTATATATAGAGCGTCACTGGCCAGGTGCTATGATTGCTTCTAACCTGGTCAAAAGGATTCATCCCATCTATGCTCAAAGCAAACCAAAGGTGCCTTACCTCTCCACCAATGTCCTTATAGCACATAGCATTGACAGTCCTCTAGTCATGCCCATCGGCGGGGTGCCTCATCATTGTATCTTTCTTATGCTCTTTGCCATGTCAGCGCAACAGCTTGGCTAACTTTGCACTTGCAAATAGCCTATGCACCCGGGGAGCTATAGGGAAATACCAAACGACCTTTACGGGACCTCCTCTGGTCTTGGTACCCTGATCTGATGGCTCTTTCTTGTACCGTGGAGCTTCATACTTGGGGCACTTGTCCAAGTCTTTGTATTTTTCTCCATGGTACAATATGCAATCATTGGAACATGCATGGATTTTTTCAACCTCAAGGACGATGGGGCAGATCATTTGCTTGGCCAAGTATGTCTTTTCTGGCAACTCGTTTTTTTCTGGGAGCATTTTTCTTATTATACCTAACAACTGATCGAAGCCTTTATCGCTCAATCCATTTGTCGATTTGAACTCTAACAACATGATGTCGACTTCGAGTTTGCTCATTGGACAATTCTTATACAATGGTGTTTTGCCATCTTGTCTCATTTTCTCTAGCTTTCTCAGCTGTCTTTCACTAAGACATCTGGTCTCTACATCACGTAGCAGCTGAGAAATGCCATCGTTATCCTCGGTGTCGTCGGCTAGCGTGTTTCTAAACACATTATTAACTGTGGCCATAGGTTCCGTGTTGACACCGGGTTCCTTGTCAGCATCGTGGATGGCTACGTCAGACATGTCCACATCATCATCGTTTTCATGTGGAACATTCACACCAACCTCGCCATGCATAGTCCATATCGTATAGTTTGGCATGAACCCCTTGGTAACCAAGTGCGATCGTATAGACTCAATTTGACAAAAGTTCCTTTGATTCTTGCAATCTTTGCATGGGTAGAAGACAAGGTTCCCATTCCCAGCATGGGCTTTGGCATCGGTGATAAATTGGTTGACGTCATGCATGTACCGCTTGTCCGTTCGGGACAGATGCATCCACTCTCGATCCATCTCTGCATAAAAAAATATTGAGACAGTAATTACAAAGAATTAATAAGAAATTGAGCTTCATGAACAACAATTGTAGCTCAAAAGTACCATTTTTGGAAAACATTATTGTACACTAATTATTGAAAAATTCAAATTGGTAGCCCTGGCCCTGTAAATTTAAAATCGTAGTAAAAAACAATTATTGCACAATAATGAAGAACAACTATTGTACTCCATGCCACATAAAAATGGAGACACTTATTTTTAAAAAGACTAAAATTAGAGACATGATCATGAACAACAATGTAGCTCCAAACAATGCCCATATAAATTGAAAAACGCAGCCCCATAAAAAAATTATTGCACAATAATGAAGTATAATTATTCTACTCCATGGCACATAAAAATGGAGACACTAATTTAAAAAAAAGTCTAAAATTGAAGACATGATCATGAACAACAATGTAGCACCAAAAAATGCGTTGTTATATGACACAGAAATTAATTTTCTCAACAAATTGTAAAAGAATCTACTCTACTTCTAAGAACTAATTATAGCATCACATACTAACAACGATGATCTTGACCACCATGGAATAATTAGCTAGGAATTTAAATGTGTTCATAGACACCAACCTTTTAGATGATGGATTCACCATAATTTGAGCCTTGCACAAATGTCCAATTGAAAAAGTGCTCTCTAGAATGGAGAAAGAACTAGAATGAGAATCAAGCAATATAGCCATCAAAACGAAGCTAATTAAGCAACAAAATCAAAGGAGTGGATGTTTGTTACTAATTTTAAAGCAAAAAGATCAAACCATTCTTCAAAATCCAAGCGCTAGCTTCATGGTGAAGAGCAGCCGCAACAATGGAGGGAAGGACCCAAACGCGCGCCTCTGTTCTTGAGATGGAACAGAGGAGGAAGGAGAGGATGGCTGACGCCTTTTTGTGCTGTAGGCTTATCACCGTCGGTTCTTGGCTAGAACCAACAGTGATAGAGCCCAATCACTGTCTGTTCTTGTCTTGAACCAGCAGTGAAATGTGGCCATCAAGCCACTGCCTGTTAGAGACACAAACCAGCAGTGATAGTTGTCATCACTGCCAGTTCGGTCACATCCCTAATCAATTTCTGGGTTTCAGAGCCAAGAACCGGCAGTGAAGGGTCAACACTGCCGGTTCTCCTAATTCCGACAGTGATGAGGCCGGCAGTGAAGTGCTATTCTATAGTAGTGCTCATTGGAACTATTTAAGCTTTTAGTAGTTTGTATTAGATGGCGTAGAATTGCGGGTGGCTAGTGCTATGCCTATTCCACGCCGTAACCGCCGTGTCGGTCTCCCCTGTCGCAATGTCGCTCTGCGCATGCCCACAGTCAGCGATCCGGTAAAGTAGGACATCATGGAGCTCGTCGTGTGACGGGGTGGTCGGGCTTCAAGCCCATGTATCCCTCTATGTAATGCAATGAAAAAGTTCATGAAAAAGCTGCGGCAGTTGCGCAGTGCAAACTTGTTGTGTTCATCTAGTTTCGCGTGTGTGCGTTCCAGCGTTCGTGCTCTCGCCGTGGTGACCGCGCTCAGTTGCCGCCGCTCCACCATCGTTCTAGGGACCGGCCGCCATGGCTGGGTTCCAACAACTGGTATCGGAGCCAGTTGATGTTCTATGGTGGGTCGATCAGCCCACCGCGAGAACCTCCGAAGAAGATGTTCATGATCCCGCGATGGCAATCGAAGGAGGAGATGGGTGACGGTGCGAGCTCCATCATCGATGGCATCAAGGAGAGCTCCCTGGTCTGGTCGATGCTTACTCGCTCCAATTATGTGGAGTGGGCAATGTTGATGCAAATCAACTATGAGGCGATGGAGATCTAGGAGGTAATTGACCCAAGGACCAACGTCAAGCGGTCACAGGACCGATAAGCCATGGGTGCTCTGATGAGATCCGTTCCTAGGGAGATGTGGGGAACACTTGGCGCGAAGAAGACGGTGAAGGAGGCGTGGGAGATGGTGCAGATGATGAGGGTTGGAGTAGATCGGGTGAAGGAGATCAGTGTCCAGAAGCTTCTCAAGGAATTGGAGAACATCGAGTTCAAGGAAGGAGAAAGCGTGGAGGATTTCGGCATGCGGATCACCAACATCATCGCCACACTCAAATCCCTCAATGAGACTATTGACGATCCTTGTGTTGTCAAGAATTTTTTGCGTGTGCTGTCGTCCCGTTTCAATCAAGTTGCCGTATCCATCGAGATGTTCTATGATATGAAAACATTGTTAGTGGAGGATTTGGTGGGGCGGTTGCGCGCTACAGAAGATCGGTTTGAGGACAAGGTCTAGTAGATCACTGATAAAGTCAGGCAGTTGCTGCTCGCTGAGGAAGATTGGCTGGAGAAGCACAAGCACCGATTTCAACAATTGGGGTCATTAGTGAAGAAGGAGAATGGAGGAGCAGACGGTCAGGGCAAGGGCAAGTCCGTGGCACGCCAGGAACCGCAAAAGGGTGGTGTAAAGCTCACTTCAGAGGGCACTCCACGCAGTTTTGGAGTTGCTGGAATTGTGGCATATATGGCCACTGGGCGCAGGACTGCAAGCGCCCAAAGAAGGAGAAACGTGAGGAGGCAAACCTTGCTAAGGCTGACGTTGATCAGGCAACGTTGCTTCTTGCCACAGTTCATGACGTCGGGCCAAAGCAGCCTGAGATGGTGGATCTCCAAGAGAAGAAGGTGAATCCTATTGAGTGCGAGGCTGGTGTTTGGCATCTTGGTACATGAGCAAGCAATCACATGACATGCATGCGGTCTCTTCTGACAGGCCTTGATATGTCAGTGCACAACACAGAGCATTTTGGAGATGGCTCCAGTGTCAATATTGAAGGCCTTGGCTCGATGATCATGGCAGGCCATGGAGGAGAGCACAAGGTATTAACAAATGTTTACTACATTCCTAAGTTACAGAGTAACATTGTTAGCCTTGGTCAGTTAGAGGAAGTTGGGTGCAAGGTAGTGCTGGAGAATGGTTTATTGCAGATTTTTGATCGAATTGATCAGGGAAGGAGACTAATTGTCAGTACTCCACGCACTAGCAATCGGTTGTACAAGTTGCAGATCAAACCAGCAACACCAGTGTGCCTAATGTTGAGTATCACTGACACAGCTTGGCTTTGGCATGCTAGATATGGACATTTGAATTTTAGGGCTCTCCGAGAATTGGGTAGAAAGGGTATGGTCAATGGAGTGCCAGTGGTGGATCATGTTGAGCAGGTTTGTGAAGGATGCACTTTGGGAAAATAACATCGAGCACCGTTTCCAAGGGCATCATCCTACCGAGCTCAGAAAGGTTTGGATTTGTTTCGTACTGATTTGTGTGGACATATTTCACCTCCAACACCAGGTGGCAAGGCCTACTTTCTACTAGTTGTTGATGATCATAGCAGATACATGTGGATTGAGCTCCTTAGATCAAAAGATGAGGCTTTGGCTTACCTAAAGAAAATTAAGGCAAGGGCTGAAACTGAATTAGAAGGGAAGCTGAAAGCAGTCAGAACAGATCGAGGGGGTGAGTTCAACTCCAGTCAGTTCATAGAGTTTTGTACTGAATTTGGAATCAAACATTATACTACTACACCATACACACCTCAGCAAAATGGGGTAGTAGAAAGAAGGAACCAGACTGTTGTAGAGATGGCAAGATGCATGATGAAAAGCAAAGGAGTGCGAGCTCAATTCTGGGGTGAAGCGGTCACCACAGTAGTCTATGTGCTTAATAGGGCTCCAACCAAGAGTTTATAGGAAGTCACTCCCTATGAAGCCTGGCATGGCAAGAAACCCAGTGTTGGACACCTGAGGGTGTTTGGGTGTGTTGGACATGTGACGAACAATGGGCCTGGGGTAGGAAAACTGAGTGACAGATCAGTGAAGATGGTGTTTCTGGGGTATGCAAGAGGGAACCAAAGGCTATAGGATATATGATCCTGAGTCAATGAAGCTGCACATAAGTAGAGATGTCATTTTTGAAGAGAACAAAGGCTGGGACTGGAGCAGTTACTGTAATAGTCACGACAGACCTGAATTCTTCATCACTGAATTTTAGTCTACTGTAGACCAACCGACAACAGATGCAGAGCAAGGAAGTCCACAGTCTAGGGGGCCTGAACCAGCATCACCATCATCTACACCAATGTTTCCAGTGTTTGGGAGCCCCCAAGAGTCAGCCACACAGACTGCATCAAGTTCACATTCACGTGGAGGAGCTGGAGCTCAGTGGGTAACACCACCTGGAGAGCAATGCTCTAAAAGTGATGAACTGACACCCAGATTCAGGTCACTATCCAACCTGTATGATACAACTGAGGAAATTCAGAATTTGGAATATAGTGGGTTGTGTCTTCTTGCTGCTGATGAGCCTCCCAGTGTAGAAGAGGCTCTTGAGGAGGAGTGTTGGAGAAAAGCAATGGAAGCTGAACTTCAGTCTATTGAAGAGAACAACACCTGAATGCCCTCTGATTTACCCAAAAATCATCAGCCAATTGGTCTGAAGTGGGTTTTCAAACTTAAGGGGGATCCAGATGGGAGCATTGTCAACTACAAAGCTAGGCTTATTGCAAAGGGCTATGCACAGAAAGAGGGGGTGGATTATGAGGAGGTTTTTGCACCAGTAGCTAGAATGGAAACAGTAAAGGTACTGTTGGCTTTAGCAGCACATGGCAACCGGGAAATTCATCATATGTAGGTGTGTTGCTTGAAGAAGTTTATGTTAAGCAGCCCCCTGGTTTCATCAACAAGGAATGTGCAGGCAAAGTGTTCAAACTCAACAAGGCTTTGTATGGTCTTAAACAGGCACCCAGGGCTTGGAATGCCAAGTTGAATCATGAGCTAAGCTAATCAGTTTGGGCTTTTGTGAAGAGTAAGGTGGAGCATGTTGTGTACCAAAGAGGTGACGGTGATTCACTCTTGTTAGTTGGAGTGTATGTTGATGACTTGATAATTTGTGGTCCTGACAGTGGCAAGATTGCTGAATTCAAAGGACAGATGATGAAACTCTTCAATATGAGTGACCTTGGCTTGCTCAGTTATTACTTGGGGCTGGAAGTGAATCAACAGGGCTCTGAAATCACTATTAGTCAAAGTGCTTATGCCAAGAAAATAGTTTAGGAGTGCCAGATGAGGGGATGCAATCTAGTTGACACTCCTATGGAACAGCGTGTCAGACCTATGACAGCAAAGCCTGGAACTAAAAAAGATGTTATAAGGTACAGGAGCATTATTGGCAGTTTGAGGTACCTTGTGAATACAAGACCTGATATTGCATATGCTGTGGGAGTTGCTAGCAGGTTCAAGGAAGCACCAGACAAGGAACACTGGGCTTTGGTAAAGAGGATTGCCAGGTACATTGCAGGCACAATCCATCTTGGGCCCAGATACAAGAAAGGAAGAAGCTCAGATTTATCTCTACTGGGGTATATAGACAGTGACCATTCAGGTGATCTGGTACACCGCAAGAGCACATCTGGAATGGTATTTTACTTGGGTTCTAGTCTGGTGACTTGGGCTTCACAGAAACAGAAGGTGGTGACCTTGTCTACTTGTGAGGCAGAATATGTTGCAGCTGCTGCAGGAGCATGTCAGGGTGTTTGGCTCATTATGTTGGTGGCCGATTTGACAGGCAATGAGGTTCAGAAGTTCGGACTTCTTGTTGATAACAAGTCAGCCATAGAGCTGAGTAAGAATCCAATGCACCATGACATGAGTAAACACATTGATACTCGCTTTCATTACATCAGAGAGTGCATTGAGAAAGGTGTGGTTAGTGCTGATCACGTGGGGACTGAAGATTAGCTGGCAGACATCCTAACAAAGCCACTGGGCAGAGCTGAGATCAAGGCTGGGCGCCGTTCAAGTCCAACAAGAATAAGGGGGTGATTTGTTAGTTTGAATAAGTCTAGTGTCCTTGATGTAATCTCGTTGGAACTGTTTACGCTTTCAGTAGATTGTATTAGATGGCGTAGAATTGCGGGTGGCTGGTGTTGTGCCTAGTCCACGCCGTAACCGCCGTGTGGGTCTCCCCTGTCGCGATGTCACGCTGCGCATGCCCACGGTCAGCGATCCAGTAAAGCAGGAGATCGTGGAGCTCGTCGTGCGACGGGGTGGTCGGGCTTCAAGACCATGTATCCCTCTATGTAATGCAATGAAAAAGTCCAAGAAAAAGCTGCAGCAGTTGCGCAGTGCAAACTTGTTGTGTTCATCCAGTTTCGCGTGTGTGCGTTCCAGTGTTCGTGCTCTCGCCGCGGTGACCGCGCTCAGTCGCCGCCGCTCCACCGACGTTCCAGGGACTGGCCGCCATGGCTGGGTTCCAACATATATATACCGAAGGGTGCTAGACGAGGAAGTTTAGCTAGGGTCGACCAAATTGTTGATTTTATATGTAGCAGCCCTTTTCTCTATGAACAGCAAAGATGACTAGACTAATCTATCATCCACAAATTAAATCCCGGGAAGCTCGTAGGCCTCGAGAGTCGTCTCTCGCCTTAGTAAATTTTATAAGATTTCGTGCATCATGCATATACTGGTTAACGCTAACAGACATAAAAGCAGTCAATCATATAACATACTCGAGTGGATTTTTTCTTGTTTTAATTTGGGCCCACAACGACCTGCTCCATGAATGAATTAAACCCATTTGCAGCCGTGACAATCCAACATATATACAGCTGTTCTGGCCGGATTCCCGCGCCAAACACGCGATGCCATATATATGGACTTGTTAGGCGCTCTGATCTATGTATATACGTTAGCAAATGGTTTTATACTACATCTTGCTTGGAGAAGATCTATGATGAAGGACGATTTTAATATGTATGCACGCTTGACGCCTCTAAGGACGACAAATTTATTTTTCTTTAATTTCCCTAAAGCAGGTTGTTGTAACACGGCCTCCGAGGATGGCGGAGACCTGCGCGGCCAGCAGTTCGCAGAGACGTCTCCGACTGACTACCTAAGCAAAGGCCCGGCTACCACGCCTCCACACTCAGAAAAATGACGGTTTCTCAGACCGCTTGCAGGACGCCGCCGGTGACCCTGGCGCAGGCTCCGCCCGGTTAGCTCGTAGGCGTCTCCGGCCGGAGGGGGCGGAGGCCGCCCCGCTGCAAGGCTAATCAAGTGCAAACGTTATCTACATGTGTGTGCAGGTAACCAGAGGAAGGCGCTCGTGGACGGCGCGGGCGCGCCGGTTTGGCCTCCGCTCGCAGGGGCAGAGACCCAAGCAGGAGGAAGACGATACTGGGCGTCGGGGGTCTGCGGCCTCGGCGTCCCAGGGGCGGAGACCGATGGCGGAGGCATAAGGGCCCATCGCCGAATCCTGAGACCTGATGGGCCGGCTGATCGTGCAGGCCCAGTACCTGAGGGTGGCAAGACAAGATTACCCCCGAGAAGAAAGGCGAGTAGTGGGATATTCCGAGAATGTACTGAAGACAAGATTACCCCCGGCTTGTCGTGTCTGTTTCCCGAGCCTCAACCTGAGGGCAGCGCCTCGCGGGCGGAGGCCTCCACCTCCTCCACATTGTCTGAGACCGCAAGTCTCAACATTGGCGCCCACTGTGGTTTGGCCAAGGAAAACCAACGATGGCAGGGAAAAGAAAAACCACCACCAGAGCAGCAACGACCAAGGGTCAGCGAGGAAGGCCTAGGCGCACCACTCGTAGCACCTACGCAACCTCGCCAGCGGAGGATGTCACCAGAGCAGATGCCCAGGGTCAACCGCCACAACCCCAAGATCCAGAGATTCAAGATCCGGAGGCCCAACCAAACTCAGCCACAACACTCGAGCAAAAACTGCAACAGCTGCAAGCACAGTTGCAAAGAGCGCAACAAGAGAGGGACAGAATGGCAGCAGCATTCGCAGCTAATCAGCAAGCTATTCAAGCGTCAGCACAAGCAGCAGAAATAAGGCAGCAGTTGGCAGTCCTACATGCTGAGATGCTAAGTATGCAGCATGCAGTACCAGCGTCAACCTCCGTAATCCCAGCCTCCGCAGCAACACCAACTGCAACCATACCACAAGGGCCTCCGCCAGCGATCAGCCAGCCCACAATGCCATCTTAGGTGATGCGGAGGCCTATCGATCCCAAGTCCCCACTCTCTGAAGGCATACAACAGTCGCCATGGCCAACGGCGTATAAGCCAATCACACTACCAAAGTTCAACGGAAAGACAGACCCCCATTAGTTCATTATGAGTTACGAGGCAGCAGTAGCCTCCGCCGACGGAGACGACGCCATCTTCGCAAAGTCATTTGTCATTGCAGCTGAAGGTGACGCGTTGGCATGGTATTCTATGCTCAAACAAGCACAATCTATTCTTGGGAGAACCTCCGAGACAAGATATTGGCAAACTTTAAGGGGCTAACAGCACAGTCGCTAACTTCCACAGATCTGTTCTAGTGCAAGCAAATGCAGGGAGAGACACTACACGACTACTTCCGGAAATTTGTGCAACTAAAGGCGAAGGCACCAGACGTCCTAGACGAGATCGCCATTGAAGCAGCGATCAAAGGCCTCCGAATCGGGCCGTTCGCAGCACACCTAGCAAGAAAGAAACCAACTTCCATACAACAGTTGTATGACGAGTTCGAGAAATACTGCAGATCAGACAATGACCTCCGGAAAAGGCTAGAGGAGCAGGGTCAAAACAGACAGCAAAACAGCAGCAAAAACTCCCAGAAAACCTATACGAACCAGAATGCATCAAATCAGAAACCAGGCTAGGGGCAAGTGCTCAGCATCGAGGGCCAACCTCACCCCGAGCAAGGGCAACAGGCAGCGCCAGCATGGCCGGAGTCCCAGACCAGGAACCAAGGTCGACAAGGTTACCAAGGCAAAATCTGGAACAAAAACCACAGCCAGAAACAACGCATGCCATATTGCGTTTTTCACGGCGAAAACGTAGGGCATAGCACCAAAGATTGTCCGGAGACAAAAGAGACACAGGAAAGGATGAAGAACAAGCAGAATGCCCAACCTCTGACACAGCAGAGCGCAAGAGAGGTTAACACCACCTACACAACTGGCCACCAGCAGTACTGCCCAATGTACCCAGCGCTAAACGCAACCCAAATACATCCCTCCACACTGGCCTCTGTCTATTACCCAAACTTCCTACCAGCATGGCGGTCAGCGCCTTCGCAGCAGCCTCCGGCGGGTAACTACAGGTCGGAGGCAAGCCTGACCTACATAAACCCAAAATCTCCCCACATAACCTACCTCAAAACAAACCCACCGGCACAAAACCAAATCAGGTTCGAGCCTCCGCCGCAACAACACCACATGCAGCAACTGCCTCCACCGCCACCTCACAACCAACCACCAGCACCAAAAAATGAACCAAACCCAGAAAACCAAGTCAACCCCCATGGACCGCTACCAACAATAGGCATGATACTACCAATCGCCAGAGGATCATCAATGGAGTTTCAAACGAAAAAGCAGAAAAGGATCACCTCCGCCTGGTAAACAACGTAGTAGTCCAAGGCCTAGCAAAATACACATATTGGTCCAGAGTCCCAATCACCTTCATAGAAGAAGATCTCCAGATAGAAAGCTACCCTCACGCAGACGCAATGGTAATCAAGACAAACATAGCAGCATGGGAGATAAGCAGAGTACTGATTGACAGTAGCAGTTCAGCAGATATCATCTTTGCAAATACCTTCGACCAAATGAAGCTCAGCAGAAATCAACTATAGCCCTTCGAATCCCCTTTGATAGGATTCGGAGGCAAGCAAATACAAGCATTAGAAAAAATCTCACTCCCAGTGTCGTTTGGAACCCAAGCAAATGCTAGAACCGAGTACATAACCTTCGACGTCGTCGATCTGTATTACCCATACAATGCCATCTTGGGCAGAGGATTCACGACTAAATTCAACGCAACCCTACATATGGCCTACCTGTGCATGAAAATACCAACACTCCATGGTATTATCACAGTCTGAGGCAGTCAAAAAGAAGCAAGAAACATAGAAAAAAGAATCTACAGAGCCCAAAGAAACATCAATGCAGTCGAGTCGGCAAACCAAAAACTAGAGTCTCCGAATATGCCCAGAGGAAAAACAGATATGGCAGGTCAAGAAGAGACAAAGGTGACCCCTCTAGAAAAGGAGTTACCAGACAGAAAAGTAACAATCAACTCAGAGTTGAGCAAAGTAGAGGAGGAAGAGCTCATGGAAACTCTAGTAAAAAACAAAGACATCTTCGCCTGGTCAGCCTCCGACCTGTATGGAGTTAGCAGGGACATCATATAGCATGAACTGGATATCAATGAAAACATGAGGCCAAGAAAGCAGAAACAGAGAAAAATGTCGGAGGACAGGATCCTGGCAGCAAAGGTGGAGGTGCAAAGGTTGCTAGATGCAAAAGTCATCAGGGAAGTCAAGTATTTAGAATGGCTTGCAAACGTAGTACTGGTACCAAAGAAGAATGGCAAAATGAGAATGTGCATAGATTTCACAGATCTGAATAAAGCTTGCAAAAAAGACCCTTTCCCATTGCCAAGAATAGATGCCTTCGTCGACAAGGCAGCCAGATGCTAGAGGTTTTCTCTCCTCGACTGTTTCTCTGGGTATCACCAAATCTAGATGAAAAAAGAAGACGAAGACAAGATAAGTTTCACCACTCCATTCGGGACATATTGCTACACCAGAATGCCGGAGGGCCTCAAAAATGCTGGAGCAACCTTTGCCAGAATGACAAAGGAAGTTTTGGGCTCACAACTAGATAGAAACATCATAGCCTACGTCGACGACATAGTGGTCATGAGCAAGAACAAGGATGATCATGTCCCCAACTTACAAGAGACCTTCGCCAACCTCAGGACAGCTGGCCTCCGCCTCAACCCAGAAAAATGTATATTTGGAGTTACAAAAGGGAAGATGCTCGGATACATCATAAGCAGCGAAGGCATCAAAGTGAACCCAGACAAAACCAGAGCAATAATGACAATGGCAGAACCCAAAAACAAGAAAGAAGTGCAAAAGTCGACGGGAAGAATAGCAAATACCAATGATTCATCTCAAAATCAGCAGAACGCAGCCTCCCCTTCTTCCAAGCCCTGAGGGGCGGAAACAACTTTGAGTGGGGGTCAAAGCAGTCGGAGGCATTTCATAACTTGAAAGAGTATCTGGCAAACTCACTGGTGGTCTCTGTCCTAGAATCGGACAACCACCTATTGCTATATGTGGTGGCCTCCGACCATGCAGTCAGTGTAGTCTTAGTTCACGAGCTGGAAAAAGAATCAGGCAAAACTCAAAAACCAGTTTATTTTATCTCAGAAGCACTGTCCGGAGCCAAGCTAAACTACACTGAGGTAGAAAAAGTTGCCTACGCAGTGCTGATGGCATCA